CTTTGATAGTATCAGGTTAAGTCAGGTGTTTCATTCTGTTATGCCTCTGTTGTTTAATAAGCTCCATTAGAGTTATAACTGTTGCTTTGGTATCTAACAATCTCCTACATTCGCATCTATTCCTATTTGTGAACTTTATGTAACCATGTGTTTTGGAAAATCGGGAACAAGAATGCATCAAATGAGTAAACCAATAGCTTTGAGGATAAAATCTGTAATCTAGGTGGCATTAAGATATCTCTATGTAGCTCTAGAGTAATTATTACTGTATTGAGCCACACCATGCTGAAAACACAAGCACTTCAGTAACTTACCCTAGATTTGACTTATTATCCTGCACAGCTCAATTCATTCCAGAACTACTTATCCTGGCTTCAAAGCGACGCCTATAGAACACACAGGTTACTAGTGTAGGCTGATGTTTTTGTAAACACAGAGAACCTCAAATGACTCCGTAAGCAGTTTGACCCACTGACGCACAAAAGGCCAGGCTAACCTTGAGAACTGGATTAAACGTAAAAACAGAGCAGAACTCTGTTTGTAAAACGCCACACTGCTCCAGTAAGATGTGTTTTCATTATCTGAACTTGAAGACATATAAGAGAGGTTTTATTAGAAAAGATATCTGAAGCATAATATTATAGGTGTAAAGAAAGTACAAAGATATTTTAGGTCAATTAGGTTGATTTTCCATTTAGTTTAACACATTTAACATGTAAGACAATACAATTCAGGATATTACAGTTCTGGCTGATACTGATTAGCCAATAATTATGTTTTGGATTTTGTTATGGCTTAAAACTGATAAATAGCCTACATTAAAATGTCTGCGGGATCATTGTTCATTTTCCCCTTGCTATTGAAGACTATATTGAAAACCCGAGTGTTTCTTTTCAGTTTTCAGTATTCACCGTGTGTTGCTTAGTTACAGGGAATGGGGGGAATCACCCACTGTATCAGTCGGGATGGGCCGCAGGCTGGCCCCTTGTGCCACAATGCAACTTTTGTGAGGAGGCGTTGACACAAATTAATGACACTTATGCAATACGGCAGTTATGGACCGCTTATAGTGCATTAATGCACGGGACTGAAGGTGAGAGCTTTTGCCACCGTTGACAAGTCAACTGTGTTCATTTTCAACACTTCACATTAGAGATACTACTCACGTAGGCTATTTGATGTAAATATAATTAATTAATAGTTAGCTAATAATAACGTGTGTGTGTGTGTGTGTTTAGAAGTAGTTTATCCTATAAACTACTATGAAACTGCTCCCACCTGTGATCCTTGAATTGATAAATGCATAAACTTTTGATTAGAATCCAACAGGTCTAAACGTTTAAGACCCGTATACTGGCATATAGGACAATATTTTATTCAGTATTGCTAGAGTAACCGTTTAAGTAATTAAATGGTAAAGAATTTTGGGACATTTCAGCAGTCGCTGCCAATTTTTCCTGGTTTATTTCATTTTTGCCATGCTATCTCACATGTTTTATACCAATTTCTGTTTTATTCATAAAATTCGTGAGTCAAAAAATAAACTCCACTGTGAGCAGTCCGTTTGGACCCACTTTGCACAACCGTCACAACAAATCCATTCACATCCACTTATGCAAAACAGTTTGTGGAAGTATTATAGGTGTTTATGAAAGTTGTGTAGTTTTAGGTTCTAGTGCTTTGGCAGAAAATGACATCCAGTGGGCGACTTTCCTCAGGTGTCCTTTAAAATTGCCATATAAGAATATTGCTGAAAAGGTAGAAGACCATACCTTATTGTTAATATTGAATTTTGTTTTTAAAAATCTGTTTCTTTAGATGTTCTTGACTATATGACTTGGCTTGGTTCCAATACCAAACACGATGTTGTTGAGGAGAATAGAATAGGGGAAGGTTTTTTTTTTACTTGTGTAAACTGTAATGAACTGCAATGTAAACTTACAGTTATGCCCGTGCTTCATTTAGGGCCTAACTAGCCAACACTATAAATTACAACTGAAAGGGGTCAAAATATCGATTAGAGTCTTTACAACATTTTATCTGCAGTATTTGCGTTATTCACTCACAATCGCGTCTCTTGGACATGGGCACTTTGCTACGCGTTTGTTAGACTCTTCGTCTTAACCCAAGCAGACAAAGATATTCCTATCATCCGGAGCAGAATGAAAGGAATCAAAGGATTTTTTTCCCTTAAATGGGCTAATTTTCCCCTTGAATTATGAAAGTAATGGCTAGGTAACACTCTGTGCACAGTACCCGACGGCTTAAGTCTTAAATCCTTCCACGTGGCCCGGCTATTCGTGGCAATTAGAGCTCATTACAGACTCATAAAGGTGCTCATTTGTTGGATTACTTAATAGACAATGACATTGTATCGTGAAGAATTATGGAGGGAAAAAATAATATTGAAGAATGGACGGTATGAAGGGCGCGCGCCGTGAATCATTCCGCATGGGTTGTCATTCATCTCTGTCTCTCTCACCCTCTTCTCTCATGTCTCATACGCCATGTTTCCTCCATTACAACAATTACAGCCAGAATGACAGATGTGTTTGTTTTTTCGCCTCCCCAATTCAGCCCAAGTCATATTCTACCTCGTTTAAGAATGAGACTTGCCGCTGATTTCAGCAATTAAATGCATATGAAAGCAAAGCACCCGGCAGCGTCTTCTCTTGATGATACTAGCACTACATGCTGATATGAAATCGTCATTACGGCGCTTGAACTTTGGCCTCAATCATCATTAGTAGACTTTCAATTCTATCTTAACATCCATAATAAAGCCGGAGAGCTGATTTTACTGTTTTGCATGTTATTGAAAAGCTCAGGTGTCAGCCCTGTAATTGAGTGTGAGCTTAGATAATTGCAGCCTACATACACAGGCGCGTATAGATTGACAGCATTACTTTCACTCCAACTTGGGTATGTCATCTTTTGTGCCAAAAAATTTAGGTTTATAAACTTTTATCAAAAGTTTTAATTAAACAATAAATTCAATTATAATATTAAGATACAATCAGGAAGAATAAGTTACCAGTCAAATGAAATCAGCATAAGCAATTCGTCTTTGCACAGAAGAGTACAAATGTGGCATCAAGGCATATTTATAGAATTTTTGACAAGATTCAGAGGTGGGATTAATGCATCTCATAATAACAATGTTATTAGATTAATTTTTAAATATAATGTCTTGAATATAGAAATTTAAATTATTTAAATGACTCTATTTATACTTTAAAAATGAAACTGAAACCGCCACTAGGTGGCAGCAAGTCACTGTCTTTGTTACTGAATCATTCATTCAATCGATTCATTCAAACCCACATGAAAAAAATCAGTTTTGGTGTTTTTGAACCATACTATAGTAAAGTGTATTATACTGTAGTATTTAAAACACTTTGTTAATGAATGCTACAGCATACTGTAGTATTAACTATAGTGAACTGATAAACTGAAATAAGTACTGTAGTATACTTTAGTTTTTATTGCAGTAAACTGTAGTGTATTGTAGTATAATATACGCTAGTTGTAGAAAACAGTATTGCATAAAGTAATTTGTTTATATTACTACAGTTGTTATATTACCACAGCAACTATAGAATTACCACAACAAATTAATTCAAGTACTTTACTATAGTATGGTTCAAAAACACTATAGTATTTACTATAAATTACTATAGTATTGGCTGATTCATTTAGGATCGAAGCAAGTGACTCTCTTTATGAATGGGTCATTGAATCATTGACTCACTAGATTTGCTCAAAAGCAAAGATTCAGTCAAAAACGAAACAGCGCTGTTCCAAAGACTATAGATGCGCAGCGGCGCAGCTGTGACTTTGTTTTTGAACTATATTTTTGTTGACGAAATAGAGCAAAATAGACAACAGTGTTCCTAAAATGTAAGTCACTTAATATTAACTTTTGTATAAAATCAAAAATGTATAAAACTGTTGTATAAATTCAATTTCACATTTGCAAACTCTCTTTATGATCATTAAAAAGCTGTTGCCCTCCTTAGTTCATCGCTATCTCACAAACTTCCATTTTAATTAATAAAGATCTCTACACTGCACACTGAATCTATTATTGACATCGTCTCTAGCCAATACTTTGTTACAATGAATGACAAAAATCAGTCCGCTTTGATGATCTGTTCTGTGTGGAGCAGGACGCGCAGCGATGGAGAAGCGAACCATAAACACTGCGCTACGTTTATGTGCAGAACTGGGATCGCTTTCGTAGTCTTTTGAATGGATAAAATATAGAAATCACTTTAATTTCCAAATAAACCGAACCATTTGGAAGTGAAACACCCCCCTCGAAATTCACTCCCCGGACTCCGCCCCATTTCCAGCCCTGATAGTAATAAATAAATACAGTTGAATAGACGGGGGGAAATGTTCATGTAGCATATTGTTAGTTGTAAACATACAAATATGTGGATGCCTCGTCTATTAAATTTAAGGTTAGGTCAAGGAAGCTCTAATACAGTATGTAAACATAAAAGAACCATGGATGAGGGGCGATTGTTACATTCTTATAGACATGGCTTTTGGCCAATAATCTCTTGAGTTATTTCTATACTGAGGTGTAATTTGCCATCTAAAATGAAGAACGTTACTTTCATGTTGACACAGACAAGCTCAGTTTATGTGAGAAATATATAGGCCTGCCTTTCTTCAATATCATTTGGAAATCTAAATAATAATACAGTATATTAGACCAGAATTATAAAGGGATAATTGTTGATATCTCAGTAGGCGCACTTGTCAGAGCTGTTGTGCCACTTTGCCTGTCAAGGATCGCACACACGCGAGCTAACAAGACTGTATGGGAAAATATTTGATTGGAGGCTCTCATGGGCATCACGTGTCTCGGGACACCAGAGGTACTAAAGCCCCTAGGCCGTGAGCGCACGTGGGTGACGTTAGGGCCGGCCCTCTCCGGGGTCCCTTTTGTTGAACTATCAAACATAAGCCAGCTCCCGAGGGCTCTAGAACAGTGTTAAGACCACTGTGTACTGCGCAAGTCCTTGGAGCAACGCCATCAGTGTGGTATCACTGACACCATCAGCATCACACGCAGACAGAAGCGATCATGTCGAGGTCTTTCTACGTAGACTCTTTGATTATCAAGGATCCCGCTCGCCCGGCTCTGAGCGAGCACACGGGACAAGACTTTCTCATCCCCTTTGGCATGCACTCCCCCGGAGTGATGAGCGTCACTGCGCCCGTTTGCCCGTCCCGGAAGACCGGCACCTTCTGTGTCTGTCCGATTTGCGTAACCTCGCATATCCACTCTCCCCGCGGCGGAATCCCACTGCTGAAGGGACAGGGCTTCTCCGCTGGTGACGCGGCTTTCTGTCAGAGGGTAGCACACCAACAGAGCCCCGCGTTAGCGCACCCGGGACACGGACACCCGCCCACAAGCTACAGCGTCACTGACCCTCGGAGGTATCACTGTCTGTCTCTAGGTGAGTGAGTGCGCGCGCAAGCTGTACACCTGTTACTCCTTATGACGAGACGCTTGACTATTTGGCAGTTTATATAATTCAAAAGTCAGTCTTCACGCATTTTACCTTGTTTTATTTTACTTTTTATCGACTTTATATTTTAATAATCATGTTGATGTTTTGGCACATTTACTTCTCAAATACACCGAATGATATATTAATGGCATTCGTTGAATTATTTCGCAAATTTGGTTGGCACTGACGTGATTTTAAGAGTTTCTTTATTTTTTCTCCTCCAGGTGCGTCTGACAACAGCCACATACAGAACGGCAAACGGATGCGCACTGCCTTCACCAGCACTCAGCTGCTTGAGTTGGAGCGCGAATTCTCATCTAACATGTACCTCTCCCGCTTACGCAGGATCGAAATAGCCACATATTTAAACCTGTCAGAGAAACAGGTGAAAATATGGTTCCAAAACCGCCGAGTTAAACACAAGAAAGAAGGCAAAGGTACGCAGCGGAGCGCTCACGCAGGATGCAAATGCTCGGGCAGCCACTCACACTATCCGCGCTCGGAAGACGAAGAATCTCTGTCACCTGTGTCAGCAACAGAGGAGAAGGAGACTTCACCTATCTAGGGGCGTCGCGAACATCATAGACTTAAGTTTGGTACCCTGCATGGCACGTTTAAACGTACGGATCCGTTGAAACGGCTGAATTTATGGGACACTGTCTTCCATATTTCCATAGCCCGAAGTGTATGGAAGTTTAGCGACTACCAATTCCTCCCTCTTTCCTCTTAAAGTATTGTTTTACCCTGACACTCAAGTCAGTTATTTGTCTTATCCTTATGACAAACTGTGAAATAATAGATGCAAGTAAAATACGTTTTTACAGTTTAAGTGAAAACGTTTTTTGTGTGTGTGTGTGTGTGTGTGTGTGTGTGTGTGTGTGTGTGTTCGTAAAAGTGCATAACAATGATGTGGGGTAATGAGCCATGATAAACATTACTGTAATTGACAGAAAAAACACCACACTCACACTCGTGATAGAGGTTATCAATAAAGTGTGCATCTGCTCACAAGAGAGTGAACAGAGAAACCCCTCATCAGAATAATGAAACACAAATGAGCATCAGTGTCTGCCGAATCTGTGCTCTGATAACTTTCTAGTAGTTAATTCTTGAAAATAGGAAGTGTAATTAATTTCTTACAAAAGGAACAGGACTGTTCTTTCCATTTGATATATGTGGTCGCTTTTCAGCTTACTCTTTTGTTTTGTTATTTTTGCAGTTTTTGTATTTATAAAATTAATTAAAACTAAATCTAAACCAAAGATGTTATACAGTTACTTTTTCACATGACAAAATAAAAAGACCAAACAAACAAATGAATAAATAAATAAATACATTTGCTAATAGAGTTAAACTGCCTTTTTTAAGATCTGTGGTAATTTTATTAAACTGGTGCATGCATCTTTTATAACCTTTAAACAGTAAACACAACTTATGTTGCAAACTAGATGTCTAATATTCTGATAATATTAATGATTATTTATTCATTTATTAATTTTCATATAATTCATAAAACTATATTTTCTTTTTTCAGGTGCATTTCACTGACAAAAAGGAAACAAATTTAGCACATTAATTTAATGACTGATTCTAAATGTATGATTTTTGATATCTTGATTAAGATAATTAAAGAAAAGGATTTCAACAACTGATTGTACAATTTATGCTCACAACTGCTTGTACAACAGATGAAACATTCTCAAAGTTAAAATTATTAAATTAAATTCAGATGCTAAATAACATTTATTTAGATTTACAATTATTACAACAAAATGCGAATTAAACTGGAAAAACATGGAATACATTTGATTATGGTCTTATTTATCTCGGACCAGTAAACATTCATTGTGCCTAATTTACAGCACCGGACCTCCCAAGTACATAATATATATTTTAAAAGAGTGGTTTGGGTGTAAATCCGCAGCTCTCTATGGCCCTTTGATTAAGACCTTTACATTTTTACTACATTTTATTTCAGCATGTCAAGCGAAACGCAATCGGCATAAGGGCTATTTGGTCCTGCGTCTCGCCTGTTGTGGTTTAGTCATGAATGTTTGTCAAGTCGTTTGGAAGGAACTGTTGGCTATTAGAAGAGTTTTGCGCTCTAATAAGGTGATGAGAGAGAGCATTTTTTTAATGAGGTTACTGGAGGTTCTGTGGGTATCACTGAGTTCAGCATCACCGAATCTGTCGGCATGTATCTTGTTTTCTGGCCTCTCCTAATTGCGCGCTGTTTATGTGGCTTCTCTTGCAGTCTCACCCATTCTTTGTGTGTTTATTGAGAAATAAACTCTCTTACTAAATATATCTTTTCATTTATTCGCGAAGAAAAACGTTGAGAATAAGCAACAGTTGCAGTTTGCTGTAGAAATTCCTATGTGTGTGGCTCCGGCTCCTTTTCATAAAAATCGTATCCGTCATTAAGACATAAATTAGATTTTGACACACACAGGCAATTGAATTTAAGTCCCCCCACTCAGCCCCCAACACGATGAAATGAAGAGCAGGCCCTGCAGCTGCTATTCAGATGAAGGAGATAATTGGCAATGAAAAGTCACTGCGCCGCATTATGTTGTCTGCGGGATCATTGTTCATTTTCCCCTTGCTATTGAAGACTATATTGAAAACCCGAGTGTTTCTTTTCAGTTTTCAGTATTCACCGTGTGTTGCTTAGTTACAGGGAATGGGGGGAATCACCCACTGTATCAGTCGGGATGGGCCGCAGGCTGGCCCCTTGTGCCACAATGCAACTTTTGTGAGGAGGCGTTGACACAAATTAATGACACTTATGCAATACGGCAGTTATGGACCGCTTATAGTGCATTAATGCACGGGACTGAAGGTGAGAGCTTTTGCCACCGTTGACAAGTCAACTGTGTTCATTTTCAACACTTCACATTAGAGATACTACTCACGTAGGCTATTTGATGTAAATATAATTAATTAATAGTTAGCTAATAATAACGTGTGTGTGTGTGTGTGTTTAGAAGTAGTTTATCCTATAAACTACTATGAAACTGCTCCCACCTGTGATCCTTGAATTGATAAATGCATAAACTTTTGATTAGAATCCAACAGGTCTAAACGTTTAAGACCCGTATACTGGCATATAGAACAATATTTTATTCAGTATTGCTAGAGTAACCGTTTAAGTAATTAAATGGTAAAGAATTTTGGGACATTTCAGCAGTCGCTGCCAATTTTTCCTGGTTTATTTCATTTTTGCCATGCTATCTCACATGTTTTATACCAATTTCTGTTTTATTCATAAAATTCGTGAGTCAAAAAATAAACTCCACTGTGAGCAGTCCGTTTGGACCCACTTTGCACAACCGTCACAACAAATCCATTCACATCCACTTATGCAAAACAGTTTGTGGAAGTATTGTAGGTGTTTATGAAAGTTGTGTAGTTTTAGGTTCTAGTGCTTTGGCAGAAAATGACATCCAGTGGGCGACTTTCCTCAGGTGTCCTTTAAAATTGCCATATAAGAATATTGCTGAAAAGGTAGAAGACCATATCTTATTGTTAATATTGAATTTTGTTTTTAAAAATCTGTTTCTTTAGATGTTCTTGACTATATCACTTGGCTTGGTTCCAATACCAAACACGATGTTGTTGAGGAGAATAGAATAGGGGAAGGTTTTTTTTTTACTTGTGTAAACTGTAATGAACTGCAATGTAAACTTACAGTTATGCCCGTGCTTCATTTAGGGCCTAACTAGCCAACACTATAAATTACAACTGAAAGGGGTCAAAATATCGATTAGAGTCTTTACAACATTTTATCTGCAGTATTTGCGTTATTCACTCACAATCGCGTCTCTTGGACATGGGCACTTTGCTACGCGTTTGTTAGACTCTTCGTCTTAACCCAAGCAGACAAAGATATTCCTATCATCCGGAGCAGAATGAAAGGAATCAAAGGATTTTTTTCCCTTAAATGGGCTAATTTTCCCCTTGAATTATGAAAGTAATGGCTAGGTAACACTCTGTGCACAGTACCCGACGGCTTAAGTCTTAAATCCTTCCACGTGGCCCGGCTATTCGTGGCAATTAGAGCTCATTACAGACTCATAAAGGCTCTCATTTGTGGGATTACTTAATAGACAATGAAATTTTATCGTGAAGAGTTATAGATGGAAAAAAATAATATTGAAGACTGGACGGCATGATGGGCGCGCGCCGCAAATCATTCCGCATGGGTTGTCATTCATCTGTGTCTCTCTCCCTCTTCTCTCATGTCTCATACGCCATGTTTCCTCCATTACAACAATTACAGCCAGAATGACAGATGTGTTTGTTTTTTCGCCTCCCCTATTCAGGCCACTTTAAAGTCATATTCTACCTTGTTTAAGAATGAGACTTGCCGCTGATTTCAGCAATTAAATGCCTATGAAATCAAGGCACCTGGTAGCATCTTCTTTTGGTGATGTTAGCTCTAAATGCTGATATGAAATCGTCATTACAGCGCTTGAACTTTGCCCTCAATCATCATTAGTAGACTTTCAATTTTTTTCTTATAACATCCATAAAAGCCGCCCCAAATGAGAGGTAATTTTACTATGTTTTGCATGTTATTGAAAAGCTCAGGTGTCAGGCCTGTAATTAAGTGTGAGCTGAGATAATTGCAGCCAACATGCACGGGCAATATAGCTCTTATAGACTGATAGCATTACTTTCCCTGTAACCTTCAGACAAGACTTGACGAGGTTAAGTCTCTCCCGACAGAGTAGGAGGTAGAATAATGCCAGACCTGCCGTTTTGGGGAGACTTGACCTCGTCAAAGCTCGCTCGCTCGCGCCACTGGCCTCCTCGAACAGTGTCTGGAGGTAAGAGGCGTTCGCGCGCAGATGAAAGTGGAAGCTCAACCCGCTGCTGACCCGCCGAGAGCTCAAACCCGCTAATTATTGTCACAAGATGAGGGATTAACGCATTTCTGAAATAGCTGGCTGTTTATCCACTCCAAAGCCTCCACAATAAACACTTTCTAATTGAATCCTAATCGCAATCAAATTGCAAGTGCGCCCAGACTCCACTGAGAATCATAAATCTTTAATTGCCGACCCGAGATCTTTCCAAACAGACTCGAATCAAGATTATAACTGCAGTTGATTTGCATAGAGAGTTTTATTCGATTTTACTCAAAGATTCACAGTTGCTTTTAGTTTTTGAATAAAAGGGAGTTTTATCATAAACGATATTGGCAAGAAGTGTTTATTAGAGTCATATTCTAAGCGTATCCTAGATGTTCATTATAATTCACCACTGGTATACAGTGTTTTATTTTGTTAAACGGTCTATAATTTCTCAAATAAATACAGTTAAATAGATGGAAATATATTTATGTATCATATTGATTGTTGTAAACATACAAATTTGTGGATGCATCGTCTATTAAATTTAAGGTTAGGTCAATTTAGGGATACCCTAATACAGTAAGCACAGAAGAGAACCATGGATGAGGGACGATTGTCAACTTCTTATAGACATGGCTTTTGGCCAATGATCTGCGTTATTTGTATACTGAAGTGTAATTTGTCATGTGAAATGGAGAAAGTTACTTTCATGTCGACACAAAGACAATGTAAGCTCAGTTTATGTGAGAAATATAGCCCTGCCTTTCTTCTACATCATCTGAAAATCTAAATAATAATTCAGTATATTAGACCAGGATTATAAAGGGATAATTGTTGATATCTCA